CTGTAAAAATTTTATGTTTCATTGAATGTTATTGTGAAAGATGTCATCTGTTTTAACGGATGTCTCTTGGGTACAAAAGCAAAATGTAGACTTTGCAAGGCATGTGAACAGCAGAGCATCTTATATGCAAATAAGGAGTTTGAGTTCGCCATGAATTAGTCCTGAAATGTGCTTTCAAGTCTAAAAGTGGTGTCTGGGAAGCTATCAATTATTTGGGTATCTGAATCTGTCCCTATTCTGTAAGGAGAATCCCAATAAATTGGCAACTAAAACCTCAACGCTGGAAAAAGCTGGTAGTTCTTATTTTGACTCCCCCCCCCGCTATTTCCCATAATCACTGCCTAAAGTAAACACTTTGCTCTAATGGTATGTGGAGATTCTCAGTCATACAAGTCATGGTGGTCCTTAGGGTGCTTTTTCAGGAGGCAACTGGACTTTTCTTTTGAAGATGTTTTGCTTCTCATCGAAAAGCTTCTTCAGCTCTGACAGGATGGTGGGAAATGGGAAGATTTATATTCTTTGCAGACAGCTGATCATTTACATCCTTTTAAAGCAGGGGTCTTCAAACTTGGCCGGTTTAAGACTTGTGGACTTCAACTCCCAGAATTCTTCCTCCAGTCATGTTAGCTCAGGAATTCTGGGAGTTGAAGTCTACAAGTCTTAGACTGGCCAAGTTTGAAGAGCCTTATTTTAAAGGGTTGTTGAAGCACTTGGAGGTTTATCTGTGTCCTCAGGGTCACCTGAGTAGTGCTTCTGGTTGCTGTAGTCTGCCATTTTTCTCTGGAAACCCATTCCTACTACTCAGATGATCCTGAGGACACAGATAAACCTCCAAGTGGCTTCAAGGACTCTCTAAAAGGATGCAAATGACCAGCTGTCTGTAAAGAATGTAAATCCTTCCTTTCCCCATTATTCTATCAGAGCTGAAGAAGCTTTTTGGATGAGAAGCAAAACATCTTCAAAGACAAAACAAGAAAGTCCAGTTGCCCCCTTAAAAAGCACCTTTGGGACACTGCTCTAATGAAAGGACCAGCCTGGTATTATATTAACAATACTGCAATTGTGTCCTTGGGCACACGCAGAATGATTTCCTGATCTTTCAAGAGATGATGGACTGTCTGCTAAAATAAAGCCAGGTCATGACACACACTTGAAAGTAAACCAGGAAGACTGTAATTGTGGGTGTCTTCTCTGGCAAGAGCAAAGAATGCTTATCCACAGGAAATATGCATGTGTAAAGCTTGTAACATTTCTGAGTAGTTTGAAAGCTTAGTTAACTTGCAGACCTCAGCTAAAAGTTAGGAATAGCAAATAAAGTGTGTATTAGATAACTTCCGGGGCATTCATTAGCCAAGGCTTAGGAATAGGGACAGGCTAAAGACCAATAGAACAAATTGTAGAATTATTACAAATGTTTATTATATGATATTCCTTATTATTTCCTTGTCCCGCCTTTAGTGAAAATGTATAAAGCTTACTTAATCCCTTGTTCTTGGTTCTTGGCCAGGAGGCCTTTTCCTTGGAGTACTCCAATAAAAAGCAACCAGAAAGCCTGCATCTGGTGCCTGGGGTCCATCATTGGCTTCAGCACCAGTTGCAGACCCGAATTGGGGACAACCCACTGGAGTCGGGTCTGAGGTATCCAGAGGTCATCGGTGCACCATTACGAAGCTCTTTCCCTTGACTCTTACTCAATTTTGCAACTCCCTAGCTAGCCAGGAATCAGTTCCAGCCTTGTAAAGCAATTCCAAGAATTCAGGAAGAACAGTGGCAGCCACAAGATATGAAGAGTAAAAAAAGCAAAAAACCATGCACACCGCCCGGGGTTGCAATTGTATCTGTAAAGAGCTGCTTTGTTCTCTTTCCTCCCCCTCCAAATAGTAATAATTAAAGCTGCAGAATTACATTATGTTCAATAATGAGTAATAAATGAGCCGTCCCTTCCCAAACAGCTCGCCCCTTGTCACGACAGACTGCTGTCGACTGCTCAGGACTTCTGGTGGCTTGTCACAGGCTCGTGGCGGGGGCTGCCACCCCTTGTAATTTACGAGCCCTCCGAACTGTTGTTTGGTGGACTCCGGCGCTGGCTTTGCCGTTTGTAATAAATAACCGGGCCCGGAGAAGGCGGGAAAAGGGCGTCTCTCCTGGTTGTATTCCTGCCGTAATTGCGTCTCCCGAAGGCAAACTAAATCTTCCCCGGAGTTGCTTTCGACACGGGCGAGAGAAAGAGAGATCAGAGGAAGGAAACCCGGGGGAAGGGGGGGGAGGGGCATCCTGGCGGAATGCGCCTGCTTCTAATTGCGGGAATGGAGGGCGAGGCTTCCGCTCCGCCCCCGCCTCCTCCCCTCCCTTCCCCTCCCCTGAGCTTGCCTGGCTTGTGGCTTGCGGCTCTCCCGTTGTTATTTCTGCAAGTTCCCAAGCAGGCATTTCTTCTCAAGGCTCAGGGGTCTCCAACCCTTGGCAACTTTAAGACTTGTGGACTTCAACTCCCAGAATTCTCCAGCCACCTATGCTATGCTGGCTGGAGAATTCTGGGAGTTGAAGTCCACAAGTCTTAAAGTTGCCAAGGGTTGGAGACCCCTGCTCTAGGGAACGCCACAGTTTTCCAATCTAGCTGGGTGGGGGTGGGGAAGAGGGGGGTGGGGTCAAGCATACCCGTGTCGACGCCCTGTCTGTTTCGTGTGTTACACTGAGGAGGCGATGTTGTTGGCCTCCCGTCAGGCTTCGCCAGTCTCGCCTTCCTTTCTTCCTTCTTCTTTCCCCCCTTCCCTCACACTTTCTTCCTTTCCTCGTCCCTCGTGCGCAGCCTTCCCCCTACCCTCCACCCTCCACAGGGTTCTCTCACGAAACGATTTGGTAACAAACGCCAGGCGTTTAAAAAAAACAAAAAACTCCAAACCGGAGCTTTTTAAAAGCCAGAAAAAAAAACCGGAGGAGGTGCATTTCCGCGCCTTTTTTTTTTCTCCTCTCCTTTTGTCATTTTTTGGTCAGGGGTTGGGAAAGGAGAACGTCAACCATTTCGAGTCAGCGTTTCGGTGCACCTGAAGCACACGCCTTCCCGAGCAAGATTTTTTTTTTTTACTTCTTCTTTCTGTTTAATGTAACTCGCTTCTGAACACCGAGGGGGTGTAGAAATAGGCTTGGCTTCCAAGGAAATAGGGTGTTGTAACATGGAAGCGTGTGAAAGATTGTCGGCAGCCGATTCCACAGTCCAGCTTGATTCAAGCGAAACGATTTCCTTCCCCCTTTCCTTCTCCAGATACAACTCACTAAAATCGGGATGCTATTTGGTCAACACGCCAGTTATTCCAGTCTCTTATCCGATGCACCCAGTATAATTTATTTCCAAGCAAGTCAAATGTTCATGACTAATGTGAAGCTCACAAACCATAGATACTTGAACAACGGTCGTAAAAAAAACACCTACCATACATGTAGGTTAATATGCTCAGAGATAAGACTCGATGAATCCAATCAGTTGCTTTTAATTCCCATTAAATCTCTTTTAAGATTGAAGTCTTAATGCTGGAAGTAAATTCCATTCGATTATTTGCAGTATGCTCCAAGGTCAATACAGTCTGTCAGAAATAAGTCCAGTAGAAATTGGATGGGATGACTTCCACAGACACATGAGGGAGATCTAGCAGCGTATTGAGTTTCCATTGAAATATTGGATTGGCTTAATATGTTTACGCAGGATTGAATCTGATTATTTCAAAGCTAGCCTGCTTCCAAATTTAGAAATGCAACCTTCCAAATCTGCAAAGCACAAGCATCGATTCTGCTCATTCCTCCACAAGTCGGTTTCTGAATTTAGCTGGGACACAAAAGGTGGTTTCTCCCATTTCCTTAGGGAAACCAACCATCTTAGCAGCTTCATCAGAGATGAACGAACTTGAAAGTGGCTTGTGGTTTTTTAGAATTGCATCCTAACATGCCACCATAAGATAAAATAATTTATGGCTGCATTTTTAAATGGCTAGCCGTTATGATATCTTGAAAAAAGTGTGGGATGAAGGAAAGATCTGCTTTGAGTCCACATTCTGTATTATAATAACTCTAACACGGAAGGAAAACATCAACACAACTATTCTGGTTAATATGTCAAATCAGAGTACCCTGCCCAGAAAAATCTAAAAACAAAATAAAACATGTTACTATTACATTGTTATGCTACTTAACAAAAAAATTGATTGGTATTTAAGAAGCATGTTAAAGCATTACTGATTCACTAATTATGAGTAAATATTCTTTCCTACTCCATTTCAAAAATTATTTTGGAAGAGGTAAACTTATACAGCATTAATTTATGGATGAAGTAGGCAGAAAAGGCTATGGAGAAAATAGAGTCAGACAATCCAGGTGTTGTTAAGTGCTTTGTCTCAAGCATGCATGTTTTGGTGGAAGATAGTATCTGGTCATCAATAGTACGCAGCTGGCTATGTTTTTTTTTTTTTAATGTCGAGAAAAAATGGAGTAGAGAAAAAAAATAATTACTGCAGCAGAAGTCCCTGATAATTTGGGGCCCAGTTCATTGTAATGTAAATCTATTAAAATATCTTTAATTTCTGTTGTCTTTAATAAGATGTGAACTGCCCAGAAAATCGTTTGAATTTGAAAATAAATTCCCCTGATATCTGGCAGATTTTATTTCCATGAATCTGTGTTTAGCCTGAGTGGCTGGTTGGTTTCAAATAATGGCAAGGATGCATCAAGATTATATCGAACAGTTTTGTCTGCTTATAGTTATTCTTGATGGGCAGGAATGGGCAAGAAACCCTGTCTCCTGCGGGCTAAGTTTATAAACCCATATGAAATAACTGCTTTTGCAAGATAATTGATTTACTTTTGCTTATACCAACTACAATAGCAAACGTCTTTCAAAGAAAAACATAGGTAATTATATAAGTATAAAAAAATCACAACCATTTCAGAGTAACCATATAAACACATACACACACACAAGTCGGAAACAACTGTAAAAGCATAATGGAACCTACCGGCAGATTGTTTCGAGATTTTTCTTGTCATCCAGGTCTTGCGGATAGTTGGCAATGTTTTGGCCCATCTTGACCACGCAATCAGAGAAGCCCTTAAAGACTGCATCGCACTTGCTCGCTTCTTTAACTGCCTGCACCAGGTATGCTGGAGAACAGATCAGCACCATATCAGCTGGACAGCTCCCAACAAGATAGCAGCATGCTATACCCACCCCTAGTTTGATACCAGAAAATGCCCTGCGCCTTCCTTTCACCTTCACACAGCTGCACCAAAGCTTCAATAGGAGCAGGATCTGCTCTTCTAGTAGTTCTCTTCATCTAAAACCACCACCACCCCTTTATATGAAATTGGAGAAGCTGCATTTGAAACGAAACACAATAGAAACCAAACACAACTAGATCAAACTCTATATTTAACTCTTCCTTAAGTGACCCACAAATAACTTAAGTCATAAAACTATCATTGCAACCACAATAGCAGTAGCAATTATTTTGGATTATTTAACTGTTATTTATCTTAGAATCCGTTTTGAATTATTTTGAAAGGGGGTTTCTAAAACTTTTTAAATTTATTTCCTGAATTTTCCCAACAATATTACATTAAAATGAGCAAACAGCAACTTCTGAAATGCTTATTGATTTCTGAATAGAGACAAATGGTTGAAATAAACTTTAAAGCCAGCCACATTGTTAATATTGCTGAAACTGTCTCTTAAGTAGGTTTTCAGTAAACTGCAGAATTGAGGGAACATTCCTAAGATAATTTCAAAACCAGAAAGTGTACATACATTTGCCTATAGGAAATGAAGAACATATCTGGAAGTCATCAAATGTAGGGTTGAAGTGCTATCTTTTATCATTTCTTTCTGGAATCAACTCTCCTGCCTGCCCCACTCCCCATTGCTCCCTCCATGTTGCTCCATGAGCAGTTTAGTGTTGGAAACAAATTCCCCTCCCTTCCATCTGTTTACAAATATGAGGTAGTGCATGTAATACAAAGTGCTCTTATAAGTGGATTGTAAGTGTAAAGGAATATAAACAGTGACTGACATATTGGTTGCATGCTGAGTCTTTGTTTCCTGGTCACTCCGCCACAGCTTTCCTGATTCTCCCCCATTCAGGCAGAGACAAAAATATCCTTTTTTGGGTCTCCCTCTCATTTACTTTCTACACCATTCCCTTTTGGGGAGTTTTCCTACCAATCCAACCTTGTCTGTTCTGCTGTCCCTACCCACCACACACATCATTGATGCTGATTCCCTGCTATTCAACTTCTTGTGCCTCTCACAAGGAGCCTTCAGGGAACCTGAGACAAGGGCATCCTTTTCTGAGAAGGTGATAATGTGGTGTCCTTTTAGGTGCAGCCCGTATCAAAGTCAAGCTCTCCATTCCCTGGTGTGATTTTGTTAGCATGCAAGATCCCTCCCCCAAAGATGAGGCTAGTCCATCCCACCCGATATTCTTCAGCTCTGTTTGTGACTACACCACTCCTGCTCAGCCAGAATGGCAGGAGTCCCACATATCTGACGAGGGCTAGATTGGAAACAGCGTATTATCTTCAACCCCATGGACCTCGATGGCAGAATCTGATTTGATCCCAATGGGTCTGAAATGCCCTGGTGGTTAAAAACAAAAAAGTCTCTCCCGATGTGAGGTGTGCATGTGTGAATGAGAAGTAGTTTTGTCATTGTTGCTGTATGTTGGTCACTTAATTATATTGGCTGAAAAATACGCACGCACAAACATCAATCCAGCCCAATTTCTCTGGGGTTGGGTTTTTGTTTTTTTTGAGAGCAGGTGAATGAGTCCAAAGCAGCATACAGGCAATTTATCCCTATCAATCCTGCATCAAATGAAACGGAATTAGTGACTTCTTGGTTTTAAGTGATCGCCTGGCTTGGTTCTGAGCAAACCATTAGCTATTCACGTCCATATGCTTCCGCCTTCTGCAGCAATCGAAAAGCCCCTTCCAGCCCCGGGAAGGCAGGCGAAGAACGGGAATTTGCAATCGGGAGAGGGGGATTTTTTTTTTCCACCCTCGAGATTTTCGTTCCAGTCCTTTGGGAATGCGGTGCGTGCATGTATTTAAAGCGGATGAGTAAAATACAGCCTCGTTATACCAAAGCTCAATGCTGGTAGAACTTCTTTCATCCCCGCCGGATTATATCGTTAGCTCAATTTAGTAACCACCTCCGTCTTTTTTTTTTTTTGAACTCATTCCCCCACATCTCAAAACACTGCTAGACTGCAGGCGTTGGCTGCCGTACCGAACCTACTAACCAGTAACATACGCGAGAGGCCAGTCCAAGAATAAACCCCTTCCTTCCTTCCTTCCTTCCCATAGCCCTTCCTCGGCTGAGGCCTGGGCAAAGCGCTCCTTCCCAAAGCCTCTGGATTGTGTCTTCTCCCCAGCTTCCCACCTAACGAACGGATGCAAAGGGCAGCGATGGACGTCAGAGGAGAAGGGATAAGTCCTCGAACCTTTCTATTCCCACCTGTTCAGGTGGCTTGGTCGACGCTTTATGTCGCCTGTTCATAAAGGGGCTACATCCCTGGAGGTTCCCCAAACCCAGTCGCGCCTGAAAAGGACACATTTGGGGGAGGGCGGGGGGGGAGGGGGGAAAGGATCTCACCAGGGATTTCACTAGCAGCTGTCAGAAAGGGCCTTTTCCTGAGTGATTAACAGGAAGCCAATTTGCACGGCGAAAGAAGAAACCAACAAAGCCTCGATCACGGTTGCAAACTCGCGTGTGCCCCAATGCGGGATTTGATCTCTCTCTCTCTCTGTCTCTCTCTCTAATGGGGGTGTTAAAACCCTGGGAGCTGGGGAAAGCGAGGTAGACGTATGTAGGCATCTTGCCTTCCCGTTGTTCCGCTGCGTGTTTTCACATCCGCAGTCCCTCTTCTGCTCCCCCACCCCACATTTGCTTTTTAAACAACCTTGTTTCTTGGAAAGGTCGTTCGTTCGGGATTCGTTCCAGACACCCTGCTGCAAGGGAGGCCAGGCCCCAAACCGAAGCCCCTCTTGTTTTTCGTTTTCGAAAGCACCTCTCCGGACAGTAATTCTACTCGGAGGCTCGAATAAACCGTTGTTTGTTTGTTTTACCCAGGTGGGTAAAAAAAAAAAACAAAAAAAACAAACAAATGCGCAGCAGGGAAAGTTTATTATTCAATACTTCCCTAAGGGCTGGAAGTATAATAAAACCACATGAAAAGATAGTAAGAAATCGCAGCGCACGCGCATTGCACAAATCAAGTCATTCCCCGCTGCTTATTTTCCTTACATTTTGTGCGCCTCCGCTTTGAGCCTTTTCCAAATAAATAAATATATCGGGAGGATAACTTGCGGGCAAGCGACAAAGGAACAAATAATGAACCCCCTTCCTTTTCGAGGACGGGTCGACACACTACCGCATCTCTCCCAGCCCAGAGGTAGGAAAGGGAGACCGCAACGCCTATTTCTCGAGATAAAAACGCGCCAATTTCTTCTTCTACTGGAACGGAATTCCAACAGTTAAAACACAACCGGGCGAAGCTTGCGGAGAGGGGAGAAGAAGGGGCGATTCTGAAGCTTTAAATAATAAACACCCAACAAGATTTGGGGTGGAACTGTAAATACCTTCATCTCTTCGCCCGGTTTCCTTTTTCCTTTTTTCTTTTTCCCCTTTCCTTCCCCCCACCAGAAAAGTCAACCCGTTTCTCGGCCATTATTTTATTTATTCTTTTTTGCAAATACGAAGCGTCTACGAGAAGGGTCTCGCAATCTCTCCCCTTTCTCCCCAAGCCCGGGTTTCCAGAAGGCTGCAGACGTTGTCGGCTCACAGCAAAGCTGCGACGAGAAATAAACCCGAAACCACAAGATTTGGGACAGGAAACCTCCGGGAAGGAGGTTCGGGGTGGGGGGTGGGGAAGGGAAACCTACTCTATAAAAGGGGTGCGCGCAGACGTGCCTGTGTGTTTGTGCTTTGCAGTCCTTTAAATCAAGCATCCTTGACAAAAACGTGGAAGGGCATGCTTTTCTGTGAAGCTGCCAACCGCAGAGGCTTTCGCCGATCTCTCTCTCTCTCTCTCTCTCTCTCTCCACCCCGCCACCCAAACCACTACCCCGCCTCACAACGCGCATCTCCTCTAACCAAGGCTCGGTGCAGATGTGAAAGTGATCCTAAGTTCTAAGCGCCTCTGCAACTGCAAGGCTTACGGCCGAAGCGAGGGTTTCGGGGACGAAATCGGGAATATCTTAAGCTTTCCTTCACCAACGTAGAGAGAAGCGCGCTCGTTTTAGCACACAGGCACACACACACACACAGAGAAGAAAACCTACTCCCTAACAGAAACCCTCCTTCCCGCGAAATGTCTATTTTAGAGCAAGGAATATATCTGAAGCTCGCTTTGATTCCCTTTTTGATTTGTTCCTTTCTATCTTTCCTCCCCTCCACGATTTTAACACAGCCCCAAATACACCTCAAATATCCTTTGACAGAACGCCGCACCTGAGACAGAAACTTTGAACTGGCACGGTTTGTGCTCCTTTTGTTCGCAAAGCAACATCCGTAATAATCGGGATACATTATTTGCGTTTTTTCTTTCTCATATCCCGGAGGGGGAGAGGTGAGATAATTTAGCTTCGGACAAACAGGATGGATGTGCTCTGCCGTGATGCAATCTTATAAACACACACACACACACACACACACACACACACACAGGCACGAGGGATTCGGGAGGGGGCCAGCAAGGTAAAACAACCAGTTAAGAAATGCGTCCTGGAGTGGGGTATGAGAGAGAACACTTATGACACCTCGAACAAACAGGCATTTTTGGCAAAGCAGCCAAAAATACCCTCAGCCAATTATATTATATAACTATATAACAAGAACTCTCACATTACAGAGCCTTGTTAATTTAGACATTATGGCTGAGTGCGGGACATTTCTTTGGCACGAAAAGAAGAAGGAAGAAGGAAGAAGAAAGAAGGAGGAAGGAAGAAGAAGAAGAAGAAGAAGAAGAAGAAGAAGAAGAAGAAGAAGA